ACCGACACTCTATGAAAGCCATCCCTGTCCTCGTCATCGCCCGCCACCTTCATTCTGGTCAACACAGCCTCGGCGTCCGGTTTGCCGTGAATTCTCACAAAACACGAGTTCATTGCCTCCACTTTTAGGACATACTTCACGGTAGCCATGGGTTTGAAGTGCTCAGAGATCTCTTGGAAAGTCATCTCTTTGGGGTAATCCTTAATCTTCAATATCGTTGACCTTATGGGTATCACAACCTCCGGAAGTTGGGTATCCATTACCTCTCCACTGGCCTTCCGTTCGGCCTTTTTCTCGGCTCTTATGGCCCGACATTTGGCCACAAATTCGTGTTTGCGTTCAAAATATCGGCTTTTATTCTCTTTAAGCACTTCTTTGTCACCAAATTTGGTCTCTGATTCGTTGAGCACGGAGTCGGCCATCGATTTGTAAGTGTAGGTGCAAAACAGACAGCCCTTAAACGCCTGTCCGGTCTTCGTCTTCTTGTATCTCATTTCCATGTATTCAACGCTTCCGTACGTTTGCAACCATTGCATCAGATCTTCGTAAGCACTGCCCACTGGAAAGCCATCCAAATGGACAGTCCGTTCGTTGTATTCCTTCAGTGCCTCGTCAATGGGCGGTAGGGGTCTGTCCGGTCGGCGCCGGACCTTCTCATCCGACACATTCACTTCAATTAAGTCTGAATTAAAGGTTAGGTTTTTGAACCATTCATGCAGTTCATGGCTATTATTGTCCACCAATTGTTTCAGTCGATTGAATGTGTTTAGTGTCTCGAAACGGATCCCTAATTAGTATAAAGGTAATCAAGTTAATTAATCAAGGTAGTTAATAGTATATGAAATTATTAATTATGTAAATAATGTATACTTACATCCATTGTCTTTAGTTATGAGATCTTTGATAAAAGCATTTGTGTGTAGATTATAGTCCGAGAAGTAATACTCTAATTGTTTGCATAGTTTTGCGTTCAACTCATCACTTATTGGTTGCATTGTTTTGAATCAATTAAATACAGATTTTAATTGCAATTAATATGGGATTATAAGTAACTTTATTTAAAAATTTAACACAGATTTCAGATAAAACAAACGTTTTTCATATGTGTTTAGTTGAAAATGACTAAAAAATGAATAAAGGTATCACTCATTTCAGATAATTTGGAAAGTTTTAAATCTATAATAACTTAATTCAGTTTGTCTCAAGTTTGGTTGTTATTAGGAGTCATATAAAATCTTAGTTGTTAGCTAGGTCATAAGTTAATAAGTCATAACATTATAATTCATTGATTGGTTGATACTAATGTAAACATTAATATAAATTGCAATAAGTTTATTTTTTGGAAACTTTGAATTTGTTAAGAGTACTTTGGTTGCATTTTAAACATTAGTACACGTATTGATTTTTGACTGCATAGTTTACAATGATTTAAATTTAATCTCTATTAGTAATTATATAAAAAACTTTAACTAAATATACATGAACACTACCTATACATTAGTTAGTACATTTATTCATTTTTAAATCAATACATTTCTGTCAAAAACTTATAAATTCAATATTAATGACTGCATAATTATTACGAAAGACTATTTATAATATAAATTTTATAAAAGTTAAATACAATTCAGGACATTTTTATAAAAAAATATATCGTTAGAAAATTATTATTATTTTAAATAATAATTCTTATGAATTAACATAATAAAAATAAAATGTTTAAAAACAGAGTAAACAAAATAATTATTGAAAATAACAACTACATTAATAACAAAATTGCCAAAAATATTTTCGTTGAAATTTATTTAAATATCATTAATAGACGGCTTAATACTAATCTACAATCAATAATACGAGTTATTAGCTATTTATTTCTATTAAGCCATATCTTATTAATTACCTATCATACTATCAGTATATTTACTGAATTTAATTATGAAACAAAAGTATTATTATATGACTGGACACTTATATTCGGCGGTATACCTAAATATAATTATATGATTTATGTTTTGTTTATGGTGTTTGGATTTATAAGCAATATTAAATTTCGTTTAA